CTGTAAACGTCTCTCACCGTCTCTAAATGTCTCTCACCGTCTCTAAATGTTTCACTGTCTCTAAATTTCTCTGAACGTCTCACACCATCTCTCAACGTCTCTTATCGTCTCTCAGTCTCTAAATGTCTCTCACCGTCTCTAAGCGTCTCTCAGCGTCTGTAAACGTCTCTCAGCGTCTGTAAACGTCTCTCACCGTCTCTCACCGTCTCTAAATTTCTCTGAACGTCTCACACCATCTCTCAACGTCTCTTATCGTCTCTCAGTCTCTAAATGTCTCTCACCGCCTCTAAATCTCACCGTCTCTAAGCGCCTCTCACTATCTCTGAACGTCTCTCACCGTCTCTTAACATCTCTCAACGCCTCTAAATTTCTCTGAACATCTCTCAACGTCTCTCACTGCCTCTAACCGTCTCTAAATGTCTTTGAACATCTCACCGTCTCTATATGCCTCTAAGCATCTCTCACCGCCTCTAAATTTCTCTGAACGTCTCTCACCGGCTGTGTTTTGAGACAACTGACAACGGGTTTGAGCCCAAAATTAGATTTTATTGTCTCTATTCTTCAGCTGAATTGAAACAGTTTTCTTCTTTTAGTTTAGAAAGCTTCGGTGTAAATACAGATAATTATTATCTTTAAAGTATTGAAGAATATTTCTATATATTGACGTGTTTTATTTTCATGTTTGTTCAAAAAACAGAACACTGAACTTAGAAAAGAGAAGAAACAAACTCATTTATTGATGAAGTTTTTGTTTTTAGTCACGCCCCCATACCTGAGTGACATCATCCAACATGGTGAAGCCCCACCCCAAAGACAAAAAATAAAAACATAAAACATTTTTAAGTGAAATATGTGGGAAAAAACAAGACAAAACAGGCCCCACCCACTTTGATTTCTGATTGGTTCAGAGAGGGCAGTGATGACAGGTTCATGACACAACCCTCATAACTGACCAATAAAAGTCCAACACACTAAAATAAAATAATAAACTCATGATGATGTCATAAAACCAGAGGGCGGAGTCAGAGTCAAGATGGGAGGGGCTTCTGGGAGTCCATCGGAGAGGACGAGTCCTACGGAGAATAGAAAGACAGTAGAGTTACAGTAGAACACAGTAGAGTTACAGTAGAACTCAGTAGAGTTAGAAAAGAGTGACAGTAGAGTGAAAGTAGATCACAGTAGAACACAGAAAGTCAGCAGAACTCTGTTCGAGCAGACAGAGAGGATTCTGGGATTAGTAGTAAGCATGAAAACTTCTCCTCACCTCTTTTGTTTCCGTGGCAGTGAACTCCTCCTCCTCAGCAGTACACTCCTCCATCTTGTCCTCCATCTTGTCCTCCTCTCCTCCTCTCCTGTCTCCCCCATCCGTCCCGTGTTCGGCCTCCCACTCCTGAAGAACCTCATCCAGGTTAAACCTCCGTCTGTAGTTCACCAGGAAGTTCTTCACCTGAACCACCGACTTGTTACCAATCACATCTGAGATTGCCTGGAAGTCCCGCCCATACTTCCTGATGGCTGTGTGTCATTGGACGAGAGGGAGAGAGTCAGTGACCAATCACTGACTGAGAGGTTTAAGCGATCAAGGTTTAATTCATTCAGATGTGTCTCAGTTCACCTGGGTACAGGTAGTTCAGGTAGTTCAGGTGTCTCAGTCTACCTGAGTACAGGTAGTTCAGGT